AGAGGTGTTTTCTTGCATAACCATCTAATATTTTAACAGACCAAAAGCTAGCAGGACTTTGTGTGAGCACAGAGAAAAGCTGGTTTGAATAATTGTAACTACTGTCTCAAAACTGGGATAATACCTCATTGCCATTTTCAGTCATACTTTAAAAGTCTTCAGTGAATTGTTTTGGAAACCAGTGGTTATCACATGTATCTATTCCATACCATTTATAAGAAATAGGTATAAAACTTCCTAAAACGCTTTTCAAGAAGATTGTTGAAACTAATTCTGCTGTTCAAAACAAATGCCACGTACAATAATAATAATAAATCATGCCCATGAGGACCTTCATGGAGAGCTGAAGTTTATGAAAGGAAGCCAGTATTTTTTAGTTTCGTGAAGAGAGTGGTCTCAGCAGATACAGACACCAAAGCAAATGGTTACAAAATCACGTAGAGATAGGTGGCTTTGGGAAAGCAAATTGCTAGCTATGAAAAGGCTTTTAACAGGGAGCAGAGAAACCCCCTCACTTGATGCCAGCTGTGCTCTAGGAAAATGGAATTCCCTCCACAGTTTTTTTGCAATTAAAAAGGTTACCACTAAAAACAAACAGAAAATTCCACATAAATATTATTCATCACCAATTTCTGTTCTTTGCAGAAAGAATCCTCCTGCCTGGAATTTACTGAGGCAAGTGGGAACAGTAATTCTTCCTCCAGTAACTAGACATCCCGAGGAGGTGAAACACTTTCTCTGAAATATGGCCCAAGCCACAGCTCTTCTGGCAGCAGTGAGTAACAAATTTGCTGGTGGAGCTTGTAGTCCAAATACAGTAAAAATCCAAGCTCTTTCGTAGTATCTTACAACGAAAGGGGCAGAATTCCTAAAAGAGTTGTGAGAGTAATCCCAACTGCTGTAACTCAGATCATTTAACAGCCAGCTATGATAATCTCCTCAGTAAATTAATATGGTTTGTCAAGCCAAACAAACTACAAAATAAGAAAGCTGTGACTGTGCCATGAAGATTTGCTAATCGTGAACATTAATTTCAAAAACATTCTGAAACTCAGTCAAAATCAGCTTATTATCTCCTTTATTGGTGCTTTCAGAAGAGGAAAAAATGGCCCACCAGCACCCCAGAAAAGTGCGAATGAAGAACAACTGGTGTCTGATGCATCTTTAGAGAAAGACAGTGAAATTAATTCATCATAGGGCTATTTACTCTAAGGCAACTGAAGAACAAAGATTAGCCTAAAAGGCTTCATATCCAGAAGTACTGAATACTGCTGGCAGGTCTAAAGGAGTACTACCAGGACAGAGCCCTGTTCTCCTTTGTCAGCAAACTTTGTGCCACTCTGGAATACACTACATGGGCAGTAAATGTTGAAGTCTGGAGAAGAAATATGACTCTATAAGGTATTTGTTGAGATAAAACCAAGCCATTACATAGTTACTGTTATTCTATGACTCTGTCATGTGATTATGACTATATAATTAGACTGTCTGCCTAGCAGTACTTTACTATGAATTTATAACTCAAAAGCTCTGTTACACTGCTTTCCTCAGGAATAACTTCTGTTAAAGTTCACAAAGAACTTCAATAAGCAATTCACAGTTTTAATAAGGAAAGTATTACTGGCATTATATTAATATTTTACAGTCATTTACATAAAGCATAAGAGCTATCCGTCTGCTATCACAAGACAAAATACAATACAGAACTGCGTCAAAAAAGCGATAAAGACCTACAGCTGAAGTCCAACATAAATAAACAGAATCAATTTCCCAAGCTGACAGTGCATTGTAAATTATTTACAACATATAAATAGGTGAAACACTACTCCAGGTCCATTGAAAAAAAACAAAATGGCATCAGAGAAGAAAAATGGCACAGCATAGATTTCTATTACCCACACTACAACTGAATGAATGAAATGCAAGAGAAGATGTGCCAGTTACTTGATACTTGCTAGTCAGCTTAATCAGATACTCTCAATTTCCTGCAGGATGGATAACAAACACTGTTCTGCTGCTTACTGTACACCACGTCTACTGAAATATTTTCTGAGGTAGAATGATCCCTAAAGCCATCTAATAACACAAGGAGTCTGGAGCCACACAATGCAACATAATGTAAGAGAAGCAGGTTTACATAAAAATAATTAATTAAAAGATATTGTACATGGGTAACTGAGATAGTAAATTATAAGGTTATGATGACAGATACCCAAGTTTCTGACTATCCTTTATTGTAACCCTACCATGTAAAAACCCAAAACCTGACCTTGTGCTCCTCACTGCCATCTGCCCTTATTTTAGAAAAAAAAAAATCATAAAACTTCAGAAGAGTTTAAAAAGCAACACACTAAAACCAAAATTGTAAAAATCTATTTGTCCTAAGTGTTCTCCTAATATCAGAAAGCCATTTTATATTCAACAAATTGAAATAATTAGGAACAGAATTCATCTTTTAATGACATGCACTTGTGTGAAGAAAGGTTAATAAAGGACGAGCAAGATTATGGCCCTGAATAACAAGGATTTAATTTTAGAAATTCTGCAGTGCTTGAATGTTATTTAAAATACTTTTAACCCTTTTACTGTTCAGGAAGATATACGTATGAGGTACTACTTACTTGCACAGAAAGCTGACTGAAAATCTTATCTTGTACCTTATAATCATCAATAACATGATATTAATTTTCTGCCTAACTTTATTCATATATTAGCGCTGACATGCATTTTATTAATTATCATCTCAGTGGCTTCATCCAGCTAAATTTTTCACCCATTAGAGGTGCATATTTCTAGCGAAAACTAGAAAGATTTTATCTTTAGATTTTTCTTGAATGAGGATGCACAGAATAAAATAACAGGGACACTGAGGAATGTGAGAACCAGGAGACCATAAAAGCCAAGCCACCACTTTTCCAGGTTTAATCCTTACTGACACTCTTTAGCCCCTGACCAAGTTGCATTGACAATGAGGAAAAATTAGCTAGTAATTTTTCTCTCCTTTCAAAAAGCTGATGAGATAAAATATAGGAAAAAAAACATAGCACGAAAAAGAAAAAAACAACAACAACAAAAAAAAACACAAAAAAAAACCACACAAAAAAAAAAAACAAAAAAACCAAGCAAAACAACTATTGTGAATTTCCTGGCAATAGCTGATAGTTAGGGCTTTGTTAGCTCACAGCTATCAGCCATGGTGTGAAGTCCCCATTTTTATTGCCTTCATTAATAAACTGTTTTCAAAAGAAGAAGAAGAAAAAAAGACATTAGTATTCAGGCCTACTAAATAAAATCAAGAAAAAAGCTTTATGTTTTTCAATGTCAACATGACCTCTCAGACCACTTCTGAAACCACTCAAATTCTTAGAAATCAATATTTTAAATCAAAAATTTTACTTCAATGTAATATGAGTTTTAAATAATTAACCCTTTTGCAATTTCTAGCTCCTCTCTGCTCTAATTTTGGCACTGATTTTCTCACGATTTCAAAAAAAAAGTGAGTTTACAAGTTACATTTGTTAGTACTACTTAACTTCTTATTCCTAAAGTAAAATTGCTCCACTTTTTTTTTATTGCCTTGATTTTCTACCTTTCTATAGTCTCATGGTTCCCTCAAATTCCCATAAATTGGAAAAATGCTTGTAAAAAAGGGAAAATTATTTTTTTTAAAGGGAAGTTTTCTTACTAAAAATGTCTCAAAATAATTTTAGTAAAGACATTTATGGGCGGTACCTACTATCTCCTGTTACTCTTCTAAAGACAATCTGGATAATACTGGAAAGGTCTAATAAAGGAAGAGCACTCTTTGTGTCAAGTAATTTGGCCCAGTCAATTTCAATTTTCCTTCAATAGCTACCATCCATTGCATTAAAAAGAAAAGATAGTTATTAGTTTAACTTTGCAGAATTACACAAGCATAAAATTTTGCACTTACAGTATCTAATATATCAGAAAAACTCTGAGAACCTAAATGTTCCAAATTGCTAGATAAATTCTTTTCATAGTCACACTCCTCTCACAAAGATCCCTTTGTTTTGTGTCTGGGTGCCTCCAGCTCTTCTCTTCTTCCTTCCCCCTGGCCTCATGCTACTCACAGGCCCTCTGTGCTATGCCCAGGATCCAAGCAAAGGGGAAGTCCAAGGACCAGGTGTGCTTTTTTACTAGGCAAGCTGGAGCCAGACCTCTTGCAACAGAAAATACCCAACCTGAAGACATGGAAATACAGTTGCTTCTCTCATCATCGCAGGAACACGCTGTACAGAAACCACAGTCCCATGACTCAGAGCACATCTCAACCAAGAAGCTCTGAGATGATCCTCTCTCTCCACTGAGCTCAGGGAACTTGAAACTACATTCCTAACTGCTTCTTGACATTTCCTTGTCCCTATGCAAACTGAAGTCCATCCAATCCAATTGTGCCTTTCTCTCTTTCACTGTCCTTTTGGTTTTTCATGCAGTCTCTGCTTTTCATCCCACCCTGTGCCAGAATAGGATTTTGCCTACTTTCTCCTCTACACTGGGTGCCCACTACTCTGTTGCTGCTCAAAGACAAAATGTGAATACTGGGAAAATAAAAAAATAGCATTCAAGTAAATGGTGATACTCTCTCTCTTTTTAATCTTGCCAGCAGTAGTGAGAGAGAGGACAGACAGCTTCACTGGGGGGAGATTAGTATAATACTTCCTGTCATACCATGAAAGTTATATGTTTCCTTTGGTTTATAAATATTAATGCTTTAACAGTAGAATTTTCGGTATTAGAATCATGATTTGAGAAAGTGCTATTCACAATTAACTTACTATCTATGTATTCTCAGATTCCAGAAGGAAAGCACACTAAAATCAAAATGCTTCCCACAGAACAAAAACTTTAAAAAGTCTAAACACAGCCATACTGCTTTCTGGGGCATTCTTTGGATATATGTTCAGTGATTCAGTTAATTAGTAGCATTGAGTCTGAGCTCTATCTTTTAAAAGCTAAGCATGAAAGTAGTATCTTACCTTGTATCTCTAATGAGAGGTGCACTTCCCAGTTTAAAGCAAATCTTTTCCCCACTACAAGATGTTTGCCTTAAAGAAAAGCTTTCTGCCAGATCAAACCCTGTAAAATAGAACACAATATGATACAATTATAATGGAATTTAAAAACCATAAGTAAATAATCATTTTAGCATACTTGAATACAAGCATATTAGCATTTCTAGAATATAGACTGACAAGCTATTTTGAAAGGTAGAACTTGAAGTCAGAGAAACTTTCAATATTCATTTTATTAGAACTATTCATGCAAAAGTCACTTGGTAGATGACTTTAAAACCTGAAAAATTAATTTGCTTTTTTCATCTGAATTGACAAGAATGCAGGGTGATTGGAAAAAAACACGGAAATTTGTGTGGCTGCCAAACGTGAACCAATACTTTTGAGGAAAAACATGTTCTGATTTTAATACCACCTTCCTGGGAGCAGCAGCAGCTTTTGGTGCTTGGGGATGGAATTCTGTCCTAATCTTTCAGTCTGAAAGCCAGCTTCAGTCAGACTATAATTACATCCAGGAATCATTACCAGCTAATTAATACAGATATCCATATTAGCTTGGTCATTTACCTGATACACCACGACTGTCTCTGTTGATTTGTTTGAGATGATGGGCAACTGATTTCATTAAAGGACACACAGCACCTTCAAGAGAACACAGTTTAGCATCAATGGTAAAATATCATCAAACTAAGAGGAACTGAACAAACCATCATGGCAGTTATGGTAATATTGACAGGAATGTTTCTCTTTGTTGCTTTAGGATATGAAAAGCAGCAATAAACCAAATTACAAAATTTAATCAAGAGCAGATTTTATACTACACTTCCAATAATATAAGCAAATAGATTTTGCATCACATTTTAATTCAACTGTTTGTGGTTAAAGTTCATATAAACAATATAGCCAGAAGAAAACCATTAAATTTTTACCATGCTGTATCCATTTACAACACTCTATAAAGCAGTTCCAAGTTCTGTTCCAAGTTCTTTTAGTATTTCTCACTGTATTACTAGAAAATACTTTCCCCCATTCATGAATATGAAACAATATTGTACTTTGGGGAAAAAAAAGCACAAAAATTAAGTAGGAGGGTAAGTCTGGACCAAAGTATTTTGGTAAGCAAACAGAATGTTCTAAAATTTGGAACATGGTAAACTGAGGTTAAATCTAAATGAACCCTTAGATAAGACATTGCATTATTAATATGCAATATTAATTATTATTACTTCTTACTTGCATTAAGTCCTTTACGCTCTTTTTTTAATAGATATACAGGAATGCCCACTTTTAAGAAGGAAATACAGGAAAATGTCACTTTTGTGCAGGGGTCAGAAATAAGGCTTGCTATTTAACAAGTTTTGCAAATAGCCCTGCTAAATTCTAAAAAAACCCTAGCACATTAAAGATGACAAGTTATGATATTTGGCCTGTCAATTTATCAAGCACAGAGCTTTGTGAGCTGATGCAACTGAGATGTCCAAAGTGTATCTGAACCTGCTGAACAGTGAAGGTCAAGGCACTTTCTGAACCATTAGTTCAATGAAAAAAATAAGGAATGTCCTAACATTAACCTGGAGATCATCTATATTTGAATGTTTCATGAGAGAATCCAGACCAAACATTGTTATTAAAAATAGCTATATTTGTAACCTTAAGGCACATGAAATTTGTCATTCATTCTGTAGTCATGTAGAAAGCATATTATCCTTCAAAACTCTTAAATGTTATTAAATATATTTTAGTATTTCATCTGGACCAAGAATGGCTAATTGGAAATAACTAGTAAAAGTGAAATTATATCAGACATAAAGACACTTCCTGATAATATGGTTAATGTAAGTTATGTCAAATATTTAAAGAATAGACCAGGCAAAATACCTTTTTTTTTTTTTTTTTAAAGATTCATTAATTTCCATGTGCTTTTCATGTAAAATAACAATTGACTACTACAAGTAGCATCACAGATAAATTAATTTACTTTTAAGGGTCTTAGAGAATACATTTTTTCCCCCTCATATAGATCCATAAATACATGGATATGCATGTTTTTCCCTGTACAGATAGAGTTTCATAGTAAATGAGATTAAATATATGCATGACAAACTCTGTAAATTCCCATTCCCCAGAAAAGACGCTGAACTGTAAAGAATATTCATGTTGAAAACTCTGAAGTGAAATCTTTCATCATTCTTGGTTAGCAGGAAGTTTTATACAGTGAGAAAAGCATTTGCTGGAACTACACAGTAACATAACAATTTCAATACACCAGTTGATATATACACACATGGGACAGAAACAGGCTCACCTTAGATGCCCTTTAGTTTACAAACCTCAACTTTCAATCAAATACAGATTATTGAAGTACAGAATTCTATACACAACCACTCTAAATCAATGAATGTTGTTAGGGTACATTTACATAACTATAGCTGTAAGAAATAACCTGGCGTAAAGGAAGCCATTTATGGCTGAAGTCACAGAAGAATGTCAGACATATATGGAAAGATGTTTTTCTTAAATCTACATGTTTTCTAAAGGGATTTTTCAAAACTATTCAATAAATTCTAAGGCAGATTCTCTTTTTGGTTAAATTCCTGATAGTACTTATAAGAACAGACAAAGCATTTATTGCTGATTTTACCCTAAACTGATGTAAGCTTTAGAGAACCTGGGACACAAGTGTGCTTTTTCTTTTCAGCATTAGCTTACATAAGCAGTGAAAGACTAGAAAGTTTGAGTTTATTCCCCACAGCCATTTTCTTCCAAGTCTAAATAAAGACTCAAGCCTTAATTTTTGTGTTATCCAGATGATAGCAATGATTCCTCACATGCCACAGACTGGACCTATTTTTATCAGTGGCATAACAGTCACAGCATAGACAAGCCATTTAAGTGTTAGTTATTTATTTGTATTCCGCATCCTCAGATGGACTGAAAGAGTTACGGTGAATCTTCTACTGCATGCTGCTGATGCACTCATTTAGTTCAGCACTATTCCTTTTACCAGAGAGCTAGGGGAAAACTCTCAAATAACAAGACCAAACTCTCTCCATACCAGGACTGACAACTTTCATTATTATAGAGTGATGAAAATTCTTTCTGCAGTTACAGCTTGTATAGTTAACCTCTTCCACGATTTTTAGACTGCTAGCAGATCCTTAAATTTTCTTTAGCCTGAGACAAAACAGGCAATCAGCCCATTCAACATGTTGGGAGCTGAACGACAAAGTCTACATGAAGATATTCAGGAAAGAAAAAGAACAAGATAAACCCTTACTGCTAATCCAGTGGGAAACCATGAACCTATCTGGCCTGTTAAAATACATTACTATAAAATTCATGAAAGTAAGAGGAATAAGCTTACATTCATACACTAGATTGCTCTGCACATGTGTGGACTGCATATCTGTGTGGTCTGAACTAAAAAAATTCATATTAAACCAGTGATATCATAGGTCAAGTTAACTTATCTTTAAATCAATGAGTCTACCTATGCAAAAAATTTGGCCTTGGTCTTTATAAATCAGTGAGTTCTAGCTATGAGCTTACTGATATAAAATCAATCCAATGATCTTGAAAATATTCATTTATTCAGACCAAGCAGGTACATCATAGATCCTTGTCTTCTCTCTCACTATTAAGATTAGTAAGATTTTTGTTTTGTTTTCTAATAACATAATTTAAAAAAAAAGAAAAAAAAGGCATTGCATCTAAACATATCGTTGCAACATGCACGTTCCAAATTCCTGGAATGATCAGGACACCTGTTGAAGCACACTGCAACTTCCATCTAGGCACTGTGCTCAGCTTTCCATTCCATGCAAATGCGGACAGAAGAGACTGTGGCATGTGCTTCAGTCTCCCTCTTACAGATTTCTCTTGTGTGCACTTCCTGAGTGGGAACTGTAACTTCCAATGGGCAGTCTTGGCTTCTGCAGATTAGTGAAACCTGTAATGGCTAGATTCACTCCATGAGTACCCATGTGATACTTTAAACTTCACATTCAGGTGAAGTTTTTAGCTGCCATCTACCACCACTGACATGCACATTGCAAAGGCACTGAAACTGCCATGACCATCCCAAAGAATATGGTCAAACAGCAAAGCCCAACCTAATGTATACCCATATTCTGTGTTGACTCAAGTTTCATGCAGAAACACATATTACCCAAGATTTTTCTCATACTCTTACTGGATCAGGCTTCATAAACACACAGACATAGGTAACATCTTCAGAGCTAGCCACACACTTGCAAATATCAGCAATGATATCCAGTGAGTCTACCACATATTCCTAATGAAGATAAGCAGATCCAGCTGGCTTATTTTCAAGGTCAAGTATTCAGATTTCTTACATATCTGTTGTCTCAAGTATATAGGCACCAGCAAAGAAGATGTGAAGTTTTTGTATTCTGTTATTTTACTCTGTAAAGAAGATTATATTACATTACAATCATTACAATATATATATATATATATAAATTAAGACAAGGGTGGGAAGAATGAAGGGAACATGATATAGTAAAAAAGTCAGCTTCAAGTCTGGTGACTATTTAGCTGGTTATGAAGTAACATAGAAGCATTGGCAGGCAGAAATAACAAATTCAAGCAACAGATCTCAAGGATTAGGATACCCATGCTAGGCCTCCTGGAGAGCTACATTCTCCCATGAAGAAGAGTAAGTAGTGACAAGCAGGACTTCATATTACATGAGACAACCAGCGCCACTTCACCAAGGGCAAGTCTTGCATGACTCGTTCTTGTGAGCCACTGAGTGGCTATGGACTGACTGCGCCAGTGAACAAGGGAATGGACAAGTCGATGTCATCCAGATTTCTGCAAGGCCTTTGACATGGTCCCCACAATCTTTCTGAATTGTAGAGACTGGGATTTGATGTGTGGACTGCTTGGAGAATGACAAATTGGTTGGACAGTCATATCTAGAGGGAAATGGTCAACTCCCCAATGTCCAGATGGAAATCAGTGGTAAGTAGTGTCCCATTTGGGATCAATGCTATTTAATTAATTAATGACATAGATTAAGGGATTGAATGCACCCTCAGCACATTTTTAGATGACACTAAGATGAGTGGTACAGTTGACACACTTGAAGGAAAGGATGTCATCCAGAGGGACCTGGACAAGCTTGAGATTGGGCTCATGGGAATCTTGTGAGGTTCAAAAACCTCATGAGATGCTGCACCAGGGTCAGGGCAATGCTCAGTATCAAAAGAGGCTGGGAGTTGAAGGAATTGAGAGCAGCCCTGACAAGAAGGCTTTGAGAGTACTGATGGATGAAAAGCAGGAGATCAACCAACAATGCATGCTCACATCCCAGAAAGTCAGTCACATCCTGGGCTATATCTAAAGAAGCATGGCTAGCAGATCAAGAGAAGTGATTCTGCCCATCAGCTCTCATGAAAAACCCCCACCCTCACTACTGCATCCAACACCAACACAAGAAAGGGCCCCAACACAAGAAAGATGTGGACCTGCTGGAATAGATGCAAAAGAAGGCCACAAAAAAAAAAAATAAAATCAGAGAACTGAGGCAGCTCTCCTGAGAATTAGGGTTTTCAGCCTGGAGAAGGCTCCAGGAGGACCTTACTCCAGCCTTCTAGCCAGTGGGCCTGTAAGAAAGATGGCTAAAGACTTTTTATCAGGACCTGTTGTGACAGGACAAGGAGTAATGGTTTTAAATAAAAGAAGTTAGATTTAGACTAGACTTTACAATAATGGCAGTGAAACACTGGAATAGGTTGCCCTGAGAGGTGGCAGATGACCCATCCCTGGAAACATTCAAGGCCAGGTCAGATGGGAATATCAGGAATATGAAGATATTGTATATGAGAGATACTGTAGGGTCATTATATTGATCTGGAGAAGTATCTAGCTGCACTAAAAGATTAAAATCAAAAAGCTGAACTGATTTGTATACTTGAAATCACTCACTGTATTTGGGCTAAAGTGTCTATCTAAAATCATGATCCATAACCAATACTTTTCACAACACATTCTGTATCAAAAGACAAGGAAAATTCACCATGCTTGATAGTCCCTGATAGCACTTTGTTTATACTACATTTTTCATGGATCAGCAAGTGACTTAAAAAGCTCTAATTGTAAAAGAAAGTTGAAAAAGAAGCAATGATCTGGAATGAGACAGAATAGTAATATTCTTAATATAAAGCTGTCAGGAATGATCAAATTAGAACTTCATGTATTACTACAGGAAGAACTAACATCCACACTCAAACCCAATATTCCCAATAATAATAAATTGACAACGTGAAGAAAGTACGCTTGCAGCGAGATCAAAAATGTGCCTGTGGAAAACTCCTGAACTCCCTCCCCTCAGATTTGTTATACTCCATCATGAGAAGAGAGTGCTTCCTTCTAATGAACACTATTCATATCAAAACATGAGAACTGAAAGAAATCCTCTATGTGAATCTAATGCTTACTGGCACCCTCAGAGCCTAAGGATGACTGCTCCAAGAAGATCCAGCATACCCTCTCAGCCTCTGACTCTTCTGTCAACACTGGTATTTATTTACTACAATATTGGCCCAATGAATAAGTCAAAGTATATTCAGCATGCCTGCTCAGAAAGCTTTCCCTTACATATGCACACAAGTCAATCCTTCCCCTAAAACACGTCTTTCTCTCACCACCCTCAAATTAATTCTAGTCTACACTTTTCCATGTATTTGAGGCCATTCCTTTAGATTCAAGTAGGTGAGAAATTTTAAGATGCAATAAAATAATCTCAGATCCCACCTAAACATGCTTTGCTGGAAAAGCTTCCATATTAGCCCAGAGAAATAAATGCTGTCGAAGGAAGAAAACCAGAAAGATCGGCTAGGCAAATACTGAAGCACAGATGCTGATTTAAACAGAACTTGTACATGGGAGGGAACAAAGGCCCCAGAAAGAACAACTGAATGCAAGATAGGAAAAATAAACCCCAAAACCTTTAGATATTACTCTCTCCATGAAGCAAGCAGATTTCAAATTTGTAACAGATTCACCTGCATACAAATTACAAAACTGGAACAAGACAACTTTGCTGCACAGAGGGTTTGATTCAGCTGAACAGAGCAGAGCAACAAACAGAAGGATCTGTACCACTTTTACCACTGCTCCGCTCCTGAGTCCATTCTTTCCCAACTCCTGCTTTCTGGTTCATAACTCGCATTTCTTTTTACAACGGTAACCATCCCTACAAACTCTAGTAGAGTCTCTTTTCTCTTATCAACTGGAGTTTATCTCTGGGCTTAACTCACACACCTGCTGTTGGCAGAGCTGCTCAAGCTGGCAGCTAGCAGCTTGTTATTCCTCACCATCTGCCTGTACCTCCACAAACTGAAGAAGCCTCTTTCAAGTGCACACCCTCAGTTATTCACAGGAGAGGTTCAACCTCTCCTTTTCTTCCTAGCAGTTCAACTGGACCCATGTGTGATCTATTTGTGGCAATCACACTAAGGAAAACTGCAACTTCATCATTGGCTGCTTAGCTACAAACTTCTAACAGAACGCAATACACAGTTCAGATAAACTGTTTATTCACAGTTCTGTGTATCTGCCACATCTTCTGTGGCTGGCCCAACATTTACTAAGGCATCATTCCATAAGGAAAAAAAAAATACAAAAGAAAAGAAGCAACATTTCCTAGAATTTTAACATTTTTCAATCTCTATTGCTAAGGAACCTTCTGTACTCGCACCATTTTAGCACTTTAAAAACTTCTCTTCTGCAACCCACTACCTAGCAATGACGGAATAAAACCTATTTTTCTTATTTCAGACAGAATGATTTCACAGCAATGATGTAGGCTTGTTCTCTCAGAGGGGTTAAGAATAATTCATCAGCAGAGCACTTAGCCTCACTGCCCTAAAAATATAAGGGGAAAAGACTTTGACTTAAATTCTGGCTCTTCACAATGCATTATTATTACCTCAGAGCCCACACATTACACTTATTATTTATTCATTATTACTGCTTATATTTTCCAGGGGTAGTAAAACGATTATTTTCCTAGTCATGGACTTATAAATTCCTTGGGCCTGAGTTACAAATGAGTTGTTGATATTCAAAGTTGTTGTGTGTTGGTAGTTTTTATTATCTTTAATAAGACTTCTGGAAAGGAACAGCATTACTAAGAGTTAATTTTATTTTTAAGAAAAAAACCAACTCAATTTAAAGAGCAATAAACATGTTTTCCTTGCTAATAGGTGTAGGAAAATTATAGGAAGTTGAACTACTTGCTGAGAAATTCTAGAAAACTGATGCTCCATATTTGACAAGCACATATGTTGTTTCTTTCAGACAGAATTTACCACATTCTGGAGAGTTAATGTAGAATTTAAGTGAGAACACTAGATAACGTGGAAGTAAGAAAAAGAGGAAAATAGGGAAATATTAGAAAATTTGCAGAAGACAGGTAACAGCTTTTAAGTTAAACAATATCCTCCTATTTCTTTCCCCCATTTTCTTAGGAAAAAGGGATTATTTTCACTCTGTGTGAAACATATGACCCAGTTTAGGATTAAGTATAGGTACAGTTAACATGAGCATTAGATTGTTTAGGTCAATGTGATAACTGCTCTGCTGTAATAAAGCCACATGATTTTGTTCACGAAAGTTTTGCAAACTCTGATTTATAATCTTGTTTTGTATGGTACTCCTAGGAGCTATAGTTACCACCAAACATGAATCTTCCATGCACAGGAAGCAGAAAGGCTGCTCTGGAGCTGCTTCAAACTTAGTTCATTTCAGAAAAGAGATTTAAAACAACCTTGTATAATTTTATCTGTTCATATTGTTTATTTTCTATGTGCTCTTGTTATTTGCTAAAAAATTTTCAGTACTGAGATTTACGCCTTTGGTCTGTGATGGGCATGAAAAATGGAAGTACCTGTCTGGTCACTGACAGCCACAGAAGTAGAAACAGGAAGGAGGAAGACTGCCATACAAAGCCAAACTATGCAGGATCCAATGTACTTCATCTCCTCCTGGACACATGTGAACAAACAGCTATAAATCTGAAACAAAAAATAAGCATATTCAGAACGATCTTGTATTATTCTTCTCACTTGTATTATTCTTATCACCTTGTCAGAATACTACAAACAAGAACTTCTTAACTGTGAAGAGGAAATTGCTAGTCATATGCAAATGCATAATTTATCTGTTTAAGGCTCTACAAAAAAGGATTTATGCCAGTTTGGAAATAAATGATCGGTATACTCCTTTTTAGTTCTTTATTATAAACTCAGAAGTAACACCTTTGAAATACTAACTTGGAGATATTTATTGCAAAGGCACTGAATGTTCATTTCATTAGTAGTTACTAATTTTCTTTTACACTTCTCCCCAAATTACTTTTCAACATTCAGTACATTAGCTAAACTGGTATCACAACACTTACAGTGACTGCTGAAGTAGTCCTCAAATGGAACAAAGGCAACATGCAATTGTTTGAATTCAACCACAAAAGAAACCAAAATACAATGTTTCACCACCTTGCAAAGTGCCTAGAGCAGCCTATATTGAATTTTTAGTCTAAATCTCACAAAAGTACAGGCTTCAACAACACAAACTGGTACTGTCATTAGAAGACAAAAGCTTATTTCCAAGCCAACTGCAATGTATAAATACACACTAATTTAATGAAACACAGAAAATGTATACTATTTTTCTAGTCACACCTTCTGTAAGAAAAGGAAATCGCATACCTAAGATGCAATTTTTATAATTATTTTCGCAAGGCACCTTATTCATCATCAAAGCTATTCTGTAATGTACTGATAGCAACTACATCATGATTAACTTTTCTAGCCTTCCCACCAGCAGCAAAGCGAATGCATGTTCAAATAAATTATCATTTAATTTCCTGCACCTGCTTTACAAGCAGGAGACGGGAATTCAGTAGGGCTGCCGCTCCGGAGCTCTGGTTTTCTGAAGGGCTCTGACCACCAACACCGCCACCCCGTCACTGCCACCGCACCTCCGGGCTTGGGTCCTCTCCCGCCGGCCGCTCCAGGAGGCTGCGCTCCCTCGCACAGCCGCGCACCGGAGCCTACGGGGCGCCGCGGAGCGACCCGAGCCCTCGGCAGCACGGACTCTAACCCGGCAGTGCCAGCAGCCTCTCTTCCCTTGGATCGAGCCGCGTTCCCGCAGGGAGCGTTCAACACCCGGGCGGGAAGGCAGGCGGGCAGCTCCCGGCGCGGCGCGGCTGGAGGCGGGCAGCGCCTCCGCCCCGCTGCCGGAGCCGCTCTCCGGTCCCGGCTCCGCGCCTCGCCCCGGCTCCCTCCGCCGCGCCCGCCCCGGCTCCCGGCCCCTGCCGGCGGCGCCGGGAGCGCGGTGAGCCCCCAGAGCGGGCAAGGGGCGGGCGCCCGCCGCCGCTCCCTCCGCAGCCCCAGGCGGAGCGGGGCCAGGAGCCGCCCGGGCCGGCGGCGCCGGCGAGCGGGGCAGCCCCGGTGCCGCGGGGCACCTGCGCCGGGCCGGCAGGTGAGGGGCCCCGCGGGCCGGGGGCGGCGATCGGGTCCATCGGGCCGGGATCGGCCCGCGGCATCCCCGCGCTCCGGCCGAGCTCCGCGGCCGGCGCGGTGCCCCCTCCCCAGGGCACTGCCCGCCCTGCCGCCGCTCGCTCACCAGCGCGCTCCCACCAACTGCGCGCAGGCCGCCCGGCACGCGTGATAATTGCAAGGTAGGTTTTTAAATGTAAATATATGCACAATCAGCATAGTGGCAATTCGCAACACTTTAATCAGTTTTGTGAATCACCGCTCATTTAGCAGGGCTGTTTCTATTTGCATATCTTAGCATACACCTATAGTCAACCACGAGCATATACAGCGTATTTACACAATCATGAGCAGAATACTATAGCACAGGCTGATTGCAGTACGTTAAAAACTTACGGTATAGATAATGTTTATATAAGACATAGTTAATATGAGCAATGATAAACTTAAATGACAATGTTGGACCTCAAAACCAAAAACCCCTGAACAAAACCACCACAAAACAAGCCAGGAATAGTGTAGTATGTGTGAGTGTGCACATGTAATATGTTTAGATAACTGACTACAAATGGTGAGTGGCTTACCTTTAATGTTTTTATTGGTGTGTCCCCCAGAAGCACTGAAAATGCCTGTACAAAGCTGCTGTAGTGCCGAGGAGTTGCTGTAGTGAGTCTCCAAAGAGTGGTAGAGGGGGATGCAGCTCTGTCCTTATTAGTCGCACAGTGTGACCCTCCCACTCAGTGAGCACAGAATACTCTGCAAGAAAGAACAAACAGCCACCCAGACATAGATTTTACATAATTATACTTGTACATCCCAAGCTAGGTAATAATGTAAAAAATGTTTGTGTTTTTTTTCTCCTTCCCCCTACCTCTCTAAAAGCACCCTCTCAACAGTTCCATAAATTAGACAGCCATGGTATGAATACATGAATGAAAGAGTATCTGGTTTCTAGCTGTGAAGAACCACTTATGTACATTATTACATCGTCAGAAACTAGCTTTTATCTTTTAAATGTAAGCATACTTTAATTTTATATACTTTTATATACTTAATCATAAATTTAAAAATCAGCCATGCAAGCAACCAAGAGAGTACACCTATTTATGGCACTGATGCTGTAATGCACAGTGAATTACAGAAATTTGTTTTGCCTTTTAAAATCTATTGTTTACAAACCTGAATGTTCTTGCACTTGTAATATCATCTGTCAGTGATGAAATGGTGAGACTAGGCACTGCCACTGGCTCTTAGCTGAATTTGCCAAACTGCACTTTTGTCAGGTTCTCCAAGTGTGCTTGTGGCAGTTTTCTGTATTGCACTTTAAAGATGTGAACCAGATAGGACAGAGAGAAGTAAACCAGCTAGAAACAGATATAGAGAACACAGAGAGAAGACCTTATGTATATAATTTCTATATTTATTTATTTATATCCAAGATATATTTTCCCTTTTTCTAGTTGAATTATTCTGACGGGAGAAAAAAAGAAAGGTCGTCATCTGAAAATTTATCAGTTTAACATCAGTTTAGCCAATTGATCTTCAGATCAGGAAATATATAGGGTAAACTTTCTTCTACCCCCAGCTCCCATACCCAAAATCCTCCCACCCACTCAGCAGATTTTGTTTCCTCAGTGTTTCCTCATTTCAATCGGGATAACTAGCCAGGATAACCAACAAATCACATGGAAAGACATGATTATCTTCCTGGTTTGAATTTCAAAACAGTTGTTGTTCTTCCCAACTTAGAATCATGAGAGAAAGATGAAATTGCAGCTTACGTACACATCTGCTGGGGTGTTTTATTCCACGGCTTTGCCACAGGCTTGTGGTGTAACTTTAGGCAAGTCACACTTCTTGCTTGCTCATTCTGAAAATTATAGAAAGTAAAGCTGTGTTACCTCTCAGGGTGAGGTGCAAGAGCCAAATCCCACAGCTGACAAATCATCGGAGCATTCTTCTTCTTCTTCAGAGTGTTCATTTGATAAAGGCCTCAATGTTGAGCCCTAATTCTGTGTTTCAGGGTTGTGAGATCCTCAGTTGAAAGACCTTTGTAAAAGCTCTGCCCATAATAAAAGGCATCATCTTTTTTTTTTTTTTAGTTTAAATTTGAGAAGAACTGCATTTCTCATTGCTCTTTCAAGCTACAAAATTATATTTTTTTTACTTCATTTTACACATCCTAATACCTGGATTCATCTACTTTGCATGAATATAAACAGTCTCATTAATTTCAATCAAATATAAGCTCTGAAGTAGCTAAGCATTTTAATTGCATAAGAGTTTGCACAAACAATCAGTTTATCCTTTAAAGAAATATTTCTGCCTCTTAAAATTTCAGCAATACTTCAAGGTCCAGACCCAAATACAGTCTTTATTTCCTGTGAAGCAAGGATGTTGCTTCCCTTGCAAAATATGACACTACAATTAGAAAACTAAATACCTTATTTGGACCATGTCAACTTTAGCAAACACTTCATATCTGCATGAAAGCAGTAAGTAGAAGAATTAGAAACTGCTACAATGTTCCTTGACTAAGACATACACTTCCTGTACTCTGGGCCAGATCTTCAACCTAACAAGATTATTCCAGTTCACATAAATGAAAGGAATTACAGGGATTTGTACTAGTTGAGAAACACCACATTAGGGACTGCCATCATACGTATTTATGGACAACACTGTTCACATTATTAAAAATAGTTTGAATGACTAGTGACATGAAAATTGGAAAAAAGAAAAACCTTACTGTTTAAAAACCTCTGTCATGACCTCCAAAACATGGTTTCTCTCTGCCTCCCATAATACAGGAAACAAAGCCACAACTGGTGACACATCTGTTGTTCCCAGTAACATCCTAGGAATCCCAAACATTTCCTCACCTGCAGTTACTGATGCACTCCAGAGAAAATGTCTATACATTGTCTTATCTGCTTCAAAACTGATAAGCTGAAGCAGCAGCAGCCAATGGATGATATCCCATCTTGTCTTTGCAGCAACATATTTTTCCATCTATCTCAGAGTTTAGCTAAAGCACACAGAAGACAGAATTAGACCTGGATCCAGGAAAGAGTCAAGAAAAATACACCAAGAAGCAGAAAGTAGAGAAATTTAGGTTTGAAGCCATACTTAGCACAGACATGCAGAAAACGTTCCATCTCCTGTGCCAAGGCGAAATTGCTCCACTGAACAGCTTTTACTACAGCTGCAGTTGCAGGCAAGATGCAGAGGGAAAAGGTGAGAGAATCGGGGGGGCTAAAACACTGACTTTTTTTTTGTAGAAAATCTTTCTCTATTGCTAACACTCACTTTCACCCTTTGTTACTTTTTTTTGTCATGATTAGACATCCAAACCAGCCAAGTTGCATAATTTGCTCTCTGTGTGGTGTTAACAGATTTGTCTCCATCTTGTTAGACCCACATTTTAAACTGTTGCTTACAACAACACATATGCAGGAATGAAGCTGTTAACTTGGACAAAACTCTTTAAAAGCAGCAGCAGTATCCTACTTGAAAAAAGTTTTGTAAAAGGAGATTAATTTGTAATTCCCCTTACCACGCAATTTCTCGCTGAATGTAGTGCTCAGTATTTCTGTTCTGTTGAGTAAGTCCTTATGTGGCATTGTTCCTTGCCAGATGATCCTTTCTGCCCTCTGCAAGATTTGCCGGTCACGACAATTGCATTCCACTGAAGCAATTAAAATATAAATGCTTTTAAATACATGGTGAACTATGATGAACTTAGACAAAACAGGTGGAATCCCAGCCCTAGGGAAGTTAATGTAAATTTTAACATTGATGTAAATGGAGCAAAAATGTCACTCAAATGAGGGCACTTTGGCAAAAACTACATAAAAATGGAATTATTTATATGCATGTGCACACATACTAAGCACTCCTAAGCAGCAAAGCCCACAGAAAAGCTGGATGTCACTTCATTTCTGCTATGGGAGACAAAAAGAAAAAAACCCAACTGCTACTTCTACTGCATAGTTAAGCAGCACTCAGATTTTCAGTAGAGGGGCCAAAATAACTCAAAAAAAAAAAATACAGACAGAATATTTATCATCATAGTTTTGTGGTATTTGTTGTCTTAGCTCAGGCATTTTCTCTACTCCTTGACACTTTACAACATGTCCTAAAATAACCAATGGGTAGTAAATTTAATGGTACAGCAACCACCAAAAAAAAAAAAAAAAAGATACATTCTTTATCTTGAATTCCAATGCCAGTGATAAACCCAATCTCAAAAAAATAATAATTCACAATGTTTAGTCTTAAAATCAATGTCAAAATCAATTATATATTGCTTATATTTGCCAGTAGCAAACATGCCAAAATCTGTATCATATGCTTTGAACAGTATTCATTATTATTCCAGAAAAATACATTTTTCAGTATATACTACTCTATAAAGTGTTAGTTCAAAAATTCAAAAGCTAAGTTATTCAAACCCGAATAACTTCTGGATTGGTAGAAATCAGTAAAATATCAGTCCCAGCTTAGAGGAACAATGCTAAGATTAATAGCATTAAAATGTTCCTGATATTGTGAAAGGCACAGTTTCCTTTTTCTTCCTATGGATAAATACATATGTATATATGTGTGTGCGTATGTGTGTGCGAGTACATATATATATATACATAGCCATACCCTAAACAGCTTACCACAACTTTATTGTTTCATGAACCAAAGACATACACAATAAAACAAAATTAAAGTTCACCACAGTTCTTCTTCTTGCCTTCAAATAGAATCTGCCCTACCTGTAAAGCAGAAAATACATACATTTTGGTGGCTTTTGTATTGCATAAGAAAAAAGTTGCCAGACATCTGATTAAGGAAGACAAGAGCTGAAAGGTGACTTTCCAAAACAAGTCAAAGCACATCTTCTGGCTTGTTTTAAATTGAAGTGTCCATATGTCTTTAAAAGTCATTACACATAATTAAAAGGTCATAGCCAGGTTTTAGGCAGCTTTGCTGGGACGTATAGCTTTTTGCCCAATATTTCTATATGAATATGGTAAAATCCTACACACAGTCTTAAAGCATCTATAAATTAGTAAAATGTGTTAATTTAAAATTTATATAATGCAAATATTAGAAAAAGGAAGGTGAAGAGCAAAAAAATAGGTATCTGCAAAGTTTAAGATCCTACAAATAGACTAGGCTGTATAAGACCTCCAGGCTTAATGGGAAGCATTATTTCAGGACAGAGAATACTTTGTGCCTGTTTTCTTTTAATTTCAACAAGATGAAGAATAGATTTTAAATTGTAACAAATATGTCCAAGAGTTCTCAAGTCTCAGTGTTAGCCACTGTCTCTTACTGTTTTGTCCTTTCTAGCCAGCTAATTTGCCCTAATAGTATTTAAAAATTGAATACCACTATAACAAATAATCCATTTTTTAGGTCCAGTTATAAGGAGTTTCATAGTTTCAGAAAGTAACTTCTTTAAATTTGCATATGCCATACTAACTGATATATAGTGACCATCAGTTTTATCAGCATAGTAGCTACAATTATATTCGCCCATCCAGGATTCTGAGTTCATGCAGAGCTATTTATTATTATGCTATTTCAATGCTGTCAAGCAACATAAAAATGAAATATTAAAATGACAAGTATTTTATTTATATTTATTGCTGAATAAATAGGCACAATAATCTAAAAAGTCATAATAAGTGCATATTTAATCTGTATC